TGTTCCTTCCTATTTTTCCTTTATTCCTTCTGTTTTTAGTTATCAAACCGTTCAAAATGTAGTGGCTTAAAACAATAACCTTGTGTTATCGCCCCCCCCCCCCTGTAGTTTCTTGAGTATGGAATTAGGGAGTGGCTCAGCTAGGTAGATCTGGCCCAAGGTCTCTCCTCTGGGTGTTGCAGTCAAATGGTGGCTGTCTGGGATCATCTAATACACTCACAGGTCTGGAAGGACTCACAGCTGGGTTTCCTCCAGCAACTTTGTCCCATCTCTCTGGTCTCTCCAAAGTGGCAGCTTCAGGGCAGCCTTACAGCCTGGGCCCAAAGACATGGCTGCAAAGAGAAAGAGATCCAGGAGGAAATTCTGGCACCCTTTCTAGCTTCAGAAGTCAGACAATACCACTTTTGCTATATTTTATTAAATCTGCTCATATTCAAGGGGAGAGGAATATGTTTTTCTCTAGAAGTTTTTTAGGGTGAGATTTATCCTCCTTACCTCTTTCACACTTTCCGTCTCCCCATCCTTTTGTTCTTCTCTGTTTGGGTGGGTTCAGTATATTGGTTCACTAACCTGCTTTTTTCAGCCATATCCATTTTTCTCTTCAGCCCATCTACTGAACTTTTTTTTGATGCTCATATTTTTATTTTCTAGGTTTCCAAAGTGTCTTTTACATAGATTTAATAACTTCACAGGTTTCTTTAAGGATATTACATTTATTTTATAGCGTTTTATAGGCCCTCTTAACTCTTGTTTTCTTTGGTTTTTGTTCTTCTGTTTGTTGAATTTATTGCCTCTGTCAAGGTGTTTTCCTCAAATCTGTGATTAATTGTCTGCTCTTTTTGAGAATCCCTACTGGCCTCTTCTATTTACAGGAGCTTACCTTCTTTCATTTGGGAAGGGGTAGGAAGTGCTATTGGGCTGAGTATACCTGGTTTTAGAGTGTGAAGACTAATTTATAAACTTCATTTATAAGTACATTATGTCTGATCACTTTATCTCTATGTACATCCTCTCCCCAAAATACTAATCTTGAGAAGAATAAGAGGAGAAGGTATCAAGGAAGATATTCTCTCAATGAGATAATGTGATTTTAGGTTACAAAAACAGTTGATGTTGCATTATGATGTACTGTGAGGAACGTTGTTCTTTATTTTAGAAACTTAAGTCTTACCATCATTTCCATATTTATTCACCACCATCCCCACCCATCCCCAACATGTTGTGGTCAGTTGTACATTTAAAATATTCACAGCTTCTGTAAATATTTAAATATAACCAACAGTATAACTGCTTGTTAAGCTTCAGTGTTCCTTAATGTAAAAAATTTATTCTCCAAAATTTCTTGTCACAACTAAATTTCCTTTAATGAATTTTGTTTCATAGGTTCAGTTGTGCAGGAGAAACTATTTCATCTTTTAATTAGTTTAAATATTTAAAAACAGAAACAACAAAGTTGGGGTCTATTTGCATCACAAAGAAATCAAGTTGTTACTTTATGAAATTTAGAAGTAGTTTTGCTGAAGTTCAAAGAGTGAAAAAATGTTATAACTTAGACCATAGTGTTAGGGATTCAAGATTGACTTAAAATGTAAACATAGTGTAATGTTTATTCTTGTCCTCCTTATTTGTCAGGGAATCTTAACCAGAGTGAGAAATTTTCTGGTGCTGTGTTGGGAGTGCACGGTACAAGAGATTTCCATAAAAAGGCATGGGATTTGCTTGGAAGAACATAGTAGTTTTCTAACTTGGCAGTAAGGAGTTAGAACTAACCCCCTTTAAAAAGAAAATATTAATCTACATTATTCCTCATTGGGTATTTGTATGTGTTTTCTTATCTGAGCTATATTATTCTTGTATCTGCATTTGTGCATATGTATATACATTTATAATCCATGGTACTTGTTAGGTGTAAAGAAAATAATTTTCTATGCATACAGTATGTATGAAAAATGACTTTGGAAGTCGACTTTCTTACCCCTCGAGTTGAGTAACAGGGGACAAATATTTTGTTCTTACAGAGTACCCAAAATAATTTGGCAATCTTTGAGTGCTTTTCCCCAAATTCTATTGCCCTAGGAGGCAATTTGGGGAGCATAAATAAGCCTTGCTATATTAGGATTCCCTCTCGAAAGGTACACATTTTTGGATGAGAGAGGTGATGAATTCACATCTCGTTAAAATGACAGCAATCCTCAGACTAAGAATCACTGCGGGCCTCAAAAGGGGGTTAAGGATATGGGGATCTGTCTGGTGGAAAGAACCTTGAACATTGTACTTCCAGTTCCCTTCCCTTTCTTGTGCTATTATTGTAATATATTTTACTTCTACGTATGTTGTAAACCCTGTGGTACATTGTTATTTTTGCTTTAAGAGGCCAAAAATGTCTTGTAGATTTACTCTCACCATTTCTGGTACTTTTTATTTCTTTAGTAATGTCATTTCTTTTTCTTCCTCTTTTTTAAAATTATTTATTTATTTATTTATTTATTTTTGGCTGCATTGGGTGTTTGTTGCTGCGCACGGGCTTTCTCTAGTTGTGGCACGCAGGGGCTACTCTTTGTTGTATACTGACTTCTCATTGTGGTGGCTTCTCTTGTTGTGGAGCACAGGCTCTAGGCACGTGAGCTTCAGTAGTTGTGGCACGCAGGCTCAGTAGTTGTGGCGCACGGGCTTAGTTGCTCCGCGGCATGTGAGATCTTCCCGGACCAGAGCTCGAACCCATGTCCCTTGCATAGGCAGGCGGATTCTTAACCACTGCGCCACCAGGGAAGCCCCAATTGTCATTTCTTTATGTAGATCCACATTTCCATCTGTTATCATTTTCTTCCACCTGAAGAATTTTTTTTGCTTTTTTTAAGTGCAGGCTGGTGAACTTTTTTCTTCCCCCAGCTTCTCTTTCTTTTTTTGGATCTGAAAAAAGAAATTATTTCACTTTCATTTTTGAAGGATACATTCATTGTATTTAGCATTCTAGGTTGACCATATTTTTCTTTAAGCATTTGGAAGATGTATTTTCTGTCTTGCATAGCTTCTCGAGAAAGTCTATGTATTTTCTTAACTAAACTTTTTCCTTTAGCTTCTTGTAAGATTTTTCTCTTTGACAATTTTTCAGGAATTTGATTATTGTGCCTTGTGCTTTTCTTTGTATTTATACTAAGGAGAGGGCTCATTGAGTTTCTTGGATCTATGGATTTATAGTTTTTATCAAATTTTGAAAGTATTTTATTATTCAGCCCCACCCCCACCCCATTCCAGTTACACACATATACTTGATAGCTGTGGTTTTCCTCTTTCTTCTTTTATGTTTCTTCTTCCTTTTCTTTTCTCTCTCTCTCTCCTTCCATCTCCCCACTCTTTACCCTCCTCATCAACTTTTTTCTGTCTTCATCTCAGTTCCTCTGAAATTTCCTTCTGCAGTATTGAATATAATGTTAATCCCATCTGGTTATATTTCCATTTCAGATACTGTTTTTGAACACTAGAAGTTCATTTTGGTTCTTTTATGTCTACCGTTTCTCTCCTCATTTTCCTTAAATCCTTGAGCATATTTATCATAGCAGTTTTAGAGTCCTCATTGGCTAATTCCATTATCTCACTTCTGAGTCTGTTTCAGTTGACTCATTCCACCCTAGTTTCAGGTCATATTTTCTTTCTTTCTTATGTGTCTATTAATTTTTATTGGATGCTGTGGACATTGAAAATTTTATACTGTTGAATGGTGGAATTCTTTTTTCTTTAAAAAAAATCTTGGACTTGTTCTGACAGGCAGTTGTTATCTATGGATTGACTCAATCCTTTTGAGGCTTATTTTTAAGCCTTTTTAGGAAGCATGTAGAGTATTTTTTACTCTAGGGTTTGTTTACTCCTGTACTAAGTATGAATATTCTGGGGTTTCAAGTGAATTGCCTATTTTTCAACAAAGAAGACTCTTCTGGTCAGAATGTCAGTATTTCCCAGCACTCTGGGAATTGCTCAGCTTACAGATTCCTATTTATTTTTTGCCTTACCTCATGGAGTTTCATCCTGCATGCCTGGCTTAGTGTTTGGCCGCAGACTCAGGTGGACCCCCGTGCAGATTTCTGGAGTTTGCTGTGCATAACTCCCACTTCTCTGGTAACTTCTCTGCTTGAGTTTTTTCTCCCTGCATCACAATCTGAAAAGTACCTCTAGGCAGAAAGCCAGGGCAGGTGTAGGTCTCACTTCATTTCCTTCCCATCTCTCAGAGATCACAGTGCTATACTGCTTATTGTCCAACCATGTCTTGCAAACAGTTGTTTCATATATTTTGTTTGGTGTTTTAGCTGTTTATTGTGGTATGGAAAGTTCATTCCTATTTACACCATCATGGTCATTGGAAATCCTTTTGTATCTTTTTAAGATAATCATGGAGATAAAAAATAAAGTTTATATTTATTCTCCCCCGTCCCAGCAATGTGGGCCTTATGAAATAAACCAGCAGTACCTACCTACAGAGTTTTAACAATTTCATCTACATTTTCCCATTTGTATCATAATAATATTTGAGGTAACAGTTTACGTGGTTCACCAATAATACAATAATGAACAAAACAGTATAGAATTACATATGATATTTTAAGCAAATAAAATAGCATTTTCATTATATTCAAGCTCATGAGTGAACTTTTCAAAAAAGTATGTAAGTTTAAGTGATAGCTTCGTAAAGAGTTGAGCTCGTGATTGTAGCTATAACTACTAGTTTTAATCATCTTATTTTCTGATCAAATACGAAGTAACATGAACAGGCTAATGATTGATGACTAGTCAAAGATAGTCTGTAATGAACTAAAATGCCTGGCAGTGGTCCTATAAAATTATATTAAAATATTCATGGTTTTGTTGTATAGCCTCTATCTTCCTCTTGATAGTTTTAAGGGAAAAAACAAACAAAAAACAAAATGTCATGTTATTTCATGTAACAGTTGTACATTCTTAGGCTATTCTTAGCATGTTTATTAATCTTTGATTTTTCCCCCCCCCCAGATTGTCAGTATTTAAAAAGACCACATCATGCGTGAGTACAAGCTAGTGGTCCTTGGTTCAGGAGGCGTGGGGAAGTCTGCTCTGGTAAGTTAGCCACCTAACTATAATTAATTAATATAATACAAGAAGAACGGTGATGTTTTCTTGCTTTACAACTTCTAGTCACTCAAGAAAAAAGGTGGCAGTATGTTTTATATGCCTAATATCTGGCCTACCAGGGTACAAGGACTCATTCAGTAACCATGGATGTGTAGTTTTATAATGGTGGCTCATTCATTCACTCATTTATCAAATATTATGTTAAGCGCTAGTGTTTGTGATTCAAAGAGGAATAAAAATTGTTTTCATTGTTAAGGAACTTACATTCTAGTGTGGGAGACTGATTATTACAAGCACCAGTGGAGTAAATCCTACCCCGTCCCCATCCCAGACTTAAGTGGAATAAAGGTCATTTTTTTGTACACATGCTGTATTTATTTAATAAGTGTTCACTGAGCTTTTATAACGTCAGACTCTAAAGTTACAACAGTGAACAAAAACAGTCACAGTCTCCCTCACGGAGCTTACGTTATAGTGGAGGAGATGTAATAGATACACAATTAATCAAAGAACTACTTGATTATAATTGTGAGAGAGATACTTTGAAAGAAAAGTATATATTGTTAAGAGACCCCTATGACAAGGGAACCTAAATTAGCATTTGAACAACTGAGAAGGGTCACAGTTGCTGGGATAGGAGTGAACCGGGAAGAAAGTAGAGGGAAATGAGGTGAGAGATAAGCAGGGGCCAGATCATGACTTGAAGACCATGTAAGAACTTGGAATTTATTCCTAATGACAATGAGAAGCTGTTGAAGGTAGGGTTTTTGGAGGGTGGTGGTGGTGATAGAATTGGATATATGTTTTAAAGAGAGCACTTTGTTCTATCAAGAGTAATTTAGAAGACAGGCAGAGAAGATGTGGGAAACAAGTTGGGAGTTAATGCAATATACCACATTATTGTTTGTGGAAGCTTATATTAGCAGTGAAGAAGAGAAAAGTAGATGTTTTGAGAGTTAGATAGGAGGTAGAATTGACAATTAACTTAGTGCTAGATTGATATGGGGACTAGGAGGGAAGGAGATGTCGAGGGTGACTCCCAAATTTCACAGTCAAGCTACTGATTTTATGAATGGACCATTAAAGAAGTAGAAGGAAAGCACTGGAGAATGAGCAGATTTGAGAGTGAAAATCAAGAGTCATGTCAAATGTCATGTGCTTGTGAGATGTTCAAGTAAATACATCAAATAAACATCACATCCTCAAGACAATAGCTTAAAAGAGACTTGTGGTATGATTTGGGTTGCCATGAATATATCTATGGTATTTATTTTATGGGAATTATGTTACTGTTAGGAGTGTAATTTAGTACCTCTGTGGTGAATGTTTGCGAGTATCTGTTATTTTATTATTTTTAAAAATTTTTTTTATTTTTTAACATCTTTATTAAAGTATAATTGCTTTACAATGGTGTGTCAGTTTCTGCTTTATACCAAAGTGAATCAGTTATACATATACATATGTCCCCATATCTCTTCCCTCTTGGTATCTGTTATTTTAAATGCATGTAACTTTCAATTTAGCAAGTCCCTTTCTGGAAATGTATCCCACACATAAGTTCACATATACAAAATGACATGGTCAAAGATGTCTATTACAACATTCTTTACAGTGGCAAGAGTTTGGAAACAACCTAAATGTCTACCAGTAGGGGCTAAATAAGTTTTTAATATGTATTTTGAGTAGAATACTATAAACCATTAAAAAGAATGCAGCAGCTCTGTATATACTGATAATTAATGATATCTAAGCTGTATTACTTAGGAGGAAAAAGATACTAAGCAGTGTAGAGTACCATATGTGTTTTATAAGAAAGGAAGAATGAGGGGGGAGATATTATAAAAGAACAGAGGCTATTTTTGCAAGGTTCAATAAGCTACAGATAACATATCAATTACTTCCTTGGGAGTGGAATTGGAAAAGGTGGTAAATAGAATTAGTTACCATTACATATGTTTTTGTGTCTTTCGCATTTTGTCCTACGTCCATGAATTACCTTTTTAAAATAAATAAATTAATTTAAAATCCATAGGAATTAATGAGGTTGTCTAGGGAGAGACTAGAGAGAGAAGAGAACTCAGGACTGGGCTCTGAGTACCTCTCAACATTTAAAGAGTAGGTAGGATTGGAGGATCCAGCATAGAAGAATGTATCTTGTACTTGAATGTAAATAATGTACCTTTACTTGACTGCTCAGAAGTCATAGCATAGTAGCTGGATGTGATAAAAGCAGCTACAGTAAGGTGATGATGCCATAACCATCCTGGGGTGGGTTGAAGAGTAAATGAGAGCTGAGGAAATGGAACCACCATTATAGATAGCTGAAGAAGTTTATATATTCAAATTAATCTATTTAATTCAAGCTAAAATAGTGTATAAAATATTCCTCTGGCTAATTGAAGTGTGAATGACCTCAGTCCACATTCTTACGCTTGCTTTTAGGCAGTGATGTACCAGACCCCGTTCTAAAGCTATCTAGGAAATATTTCACAGCCATCTTCTGTACTTCTTTTCATTTACTGAATGGTAAAATACCTAGTTTCCCATCTTTGCTTATAGAAATTTTAGAGATAAAAGTAGATAATCTGAAAAAGATGAGTAGGTATTGTTTTCCTATGCAAAGAGTAAGGCTTTGGAATCAGGAAGGCATATGTTTGAATCTCAGCTGGCAAATCAGAAAAATAACTACTTCTGGGGTGAATATGAAATTTGAATGTGATTATAAATTTAATAAGCTCAATAAATTTTAATTCCCTCTTCTGTTTTCCCCCACGATTAGAAAGACTGTTTCAAGACTTTAAAAATTTACAACCTTTTGTCTCTCTCCTTTGAGGATATGAGATAAAACTTGCTATAGATACATAGAGGGATAATAGGAGTTTAAATACTGATAATTTTTCACATTTTAGTAAATTAGAATCCATGTCCTTACTTGTATCTTGGTAGTATTTTAAAACTTAATATAGTAATTATTTAACAGTGTAATGTCAGCAGCAGCATTGATGACAGTTTTTAACATGACCACCTCCTTTCGTAAGTGTACTCTTAATTATGAATGTATCCTTATATTGAAAAATAATGACACTTCACATTTGCATGTTTACACAGTTTTCATATAATTACATTTAACCTTTACCACTTTGCGAAGTTAAGTAACATTTAAGAGGGGCTGATTTTTCTTTTAAGTCCTTAACTTTTGTCTGCTTTTTTTAAATTTCTAGACAGTTCAATTTGTTCAGGGAATTTTTGTTGAAAAATATGACCCAACGATAGAAGATTCCTACAGAAAGGTAAAATATGAAACTTGTATACACATGCTTACAAGTAGTTTCTTATGACTTTAAAACTTGATCCATGGAATTGCTTTTTTGAAAATAGTTTTGAGAAATGATACAGATGTTCTGTATTTGTTTTTAAAAGTTTCACCAAGACAAAATACTTTTCGTACAACACTGCTTATTAGCTATAGAGAGCTCCATGTTCTGTTACTGATTAGTAATCTGTTCTTTAATGTACACATTTTCCTGGTGGGAATTCTTTTAATGTAGAAAAATTGCATATAAATAGGTATATTTCTGATTACTCTTTTTGTGAACTAAAATTAAGAACACTTTATGCTTGAAGTTATACAGTAACTGAAAGTTATTTTTGTTTAGTTGTATAATAACTTAAAAAATATTTCTCCTTTAAACTGTAAAAAGTTAAAGAGTTGGATTCTATAACACCAGAACACCAAGAGTAAAATTGCTAACTGTGGACTTTGCATGATAATGATGTGTTGATACAGGAAGGTTCATTGATTCTCACAAATGTACCACTCTGATGCAGGATGCTGATAGTGGGGGAGGCTAGCAGGGAGCAGGAGAAGGGTGTATGGGAACTCTGTACTTTCGGCTCAGTGTTGCTGTGAACCAAAAGCTGCTTTCTAAAAAGTAAAGCTTATTTAAAAGGGAAAAAAATTTTAATAGTTGGTCTTGACAAAAAATACTATTTTATTTAACTATAAGACTAGCTAGAATTGTGGAGAATTTTCATGATTTTATTTCCCAAGTATGTTATGGGGGGGAAGAGACAGTGTTGTAAGAAAGCCTAGTAACCAACGATATACCCCACTGCCCCCAAAAAAGATTAACCTGCCTTTCATCAAATAAGAAAGGATTGCTTTGGTAGATGTTTTAGAATTTACCTTTAAATAGTGTTATAACTTTTGCTGAATTAAGTTCATCAAGCCTACTGTCAGAGCAGTTTCATTATCTGTAAATTGGAAACAAAAGTGTGATATATATTGAGAAACTACAGACCTAATTAATTCATTGTTCATTGAACATGCCCATTCACAGATTGTGCAGGTTGTTACCACATTTGTCCCATAAGTGGTAGACAGTGAGTTTGTAGATCCACCTGTGGTGCTCCTCATCAATTCCTGATCTGACAGAGAAGCAGAGTTTAAAATAGTCCTTAGGTTAATATGTTTATTTTTAGAAGACCATGTTGCATTACTGAAATTTCCCCCAAATAAGTTGCTGGTTAAAGCTTTAACTACAAACGGAGATCTGTACCTTGAATGCTGAAGCACTTTTCTTAATCCCTTCTTTATTAAAAATTTTCCTCACAGCTAATAGTTGATACTTTCTTTAGGACAACCTTCTCTTCTATAAAGCCCTGGGAAAGTAGAATTCAGTATATGAAATTTCACCTTATACACACAGCTTTTCCAAAGAAGTACCTTTTTTTAAAGTCTTGAGAACTCTATAGGTTCAGTGTTAATTGTGTTCCCTTTATCTCTTAAGAATTTCCTTTGTATTAAATTTGGCATATTTTAGTAAAACTTTGACAACTTGAATCTGGTAAGTTGGCAAAGTTTTCTTTACCCCCAGATATTGGCTTTGTTTTGAGCTGCTTTTATGCTTTGTTTTGAAGATAATATAAATATACATACTTTATACATTTTTTTTCCCTGCTAGGACTATACCTGTTTGTTGCAGTTTTTCTTAAATTGCAGAGTATGACCATTGGCTTCTAATAATAACAAAAATCATTACTCAGAGTTCATAGTGGTCAGAAAAATATCTAAACTCAGGATTAACAGTCCTAGCTTCTGCATTATTAATAGAATGTGTTTGAGACCTCCTGTTCTTTACTGTAGTACCAATTTGGTCTCCACCGATACAGCAAACTGCTAGAGAAAGGCTTTGTAGTTGTTAATAAGGACTTTGAGTGAAGAGGTGGGAGGAAAACAGACTGACATTTTGATGTTACTTTTTCATCCTCCTCCACCCCCCACCCCCTGCCCTGACCCTAACAGCAAGTTGAAGTAGACTGCCAACAGTGTATGCTCGAAATCCTGGATACAGCAGGAACAGTAAGGATGTTTTCTCTTTTTTTGGCAGGGGGGTGGGGGGGGGACAGATTTTCATTTGTGAACAGTATTTGGTCGCCTGAATGATTTCTGTGAGTAAAAGCATTTGTTCTGATTAAGAACGTTAAGTCTCTAAATGTAGGGCTTCTTAAATTTTCTTACGTGTGTGAAACTATCTATGATGTACTTAATGCCCACATATCACTATTAAATTGTATGTTGTGCTCACCTACAGAATCTGTGTGTTGAATTTCTTTTCCCTGTATTGAGGTAAGGATTATGCTCTTCGTGCTGTAAACAAACAAACAAAAGGAAAGTATTTTAAATACAGAATTTTAGTTAAAATAGGTATTTCTCTGGGTTTAAATAAGACTAACTCTTGACACCATGGTCATTCATTTATTTAAAAAACTTTTTTTGCTTTTTATTAGCATTTTAACATCTCAAGGGACTGGTGACAGATACGTGTGTTCTGACAAAAATCTTTAGGATTATTTTGAGCCTCATTTTTCACATGCTTAAATGAGTATAATGACGTTTAATACATTATAGGGTGCTTATAATGATCAAATGAGATAATGATTATAAATCACTTGGCACAAAATGTCTTTTATATAGTATGAGCTCTGTGTATTTGCTTTTATTTTCATTGTCTTCATTTGTCCTCACCTTTTTAATTGTTTAATTAATTAATGATGGTTTTATTCTGCCACAATTATACTACCACAAAAAATGCACACATTAAATGATTTTCTTTTTTTTTTTCTCCATATACATAGACTTTACCTATTAGGCAGTTCCTAGCTTTAAAATGGATGGTATTCTTAAATGTTTTAAGTTGTTTTAAAATTCAGCACAAATATTCCCACTATAATTTTATAAATGGTGAGAAAGCTTCAGATCAAAAAAACCTTAAGCAGACTGGAGCAATTAGAGTATGAATTATACCATATTTTTCTATTCTTCTGTGGGAAAATGGATCTTGATTCCAACAGGAAGCTTTGGATCACTGGAACTCCTTCTTTCTTATATCAGCTGAATTGAGACCTCCCCCTCTTGCCACTTCGCCCAACCCCCAAATTTCGTAGCTTCTGAATCAGCAATAATTCTCCTTTGTTCCCAAAGACCCCAACAGTTAAAAAAAAATACTTTCTATTTCTTCCTTTCACAGCCTCCACAAGTGTGAGGACATTGTTTCTTCCTCCTCTTGTCCAAATTAAAATTTTCCCCTTCTGCAGAGATCTTCCGCTTGTGCTCTCAAATATCTTGTATTTCTACCATCCTAGCACTCAGCATGCTGTGTTGCAATTTTCTGTTTACTTCTCTGTCCCCAATGCCTTGCATAACGTTTGGAAAGTAGTTGATGCTCTTTGATCTTGTCCTAGATCACTCCTTACTCCTTGAGGATTTTTGCTTACTGTCTCCAACACTGCTTTAGTCCGAATTCTTGGTGATTTTAGTATCCAAATAGAATCTTTACGGGTAATATAGATGATCCAGTAGCTTGGCCTCTCAGTTCCTTGACCTCCACCCTGCTTCAGTCATTCACGCCCGTGGTCTTTACCCTAGACGATATGATTACCAGTAACATAATACCATCTTAAATCTCATTTTCAAGTGTCCTACTCTCTACTAACCATCTCTTGTTTCTCCATCTTACTTCCTTTCATACCTTTCAACCTGACTGTAATCTGCAGTCTGTTAAATCTAACATCTTTGATTATCTATCATATCCTCAACCCCCTCTTTATACAGCTTCAAGTCCATGGTCTGTAATTCATAATCAATCCCTTGGATATATCCTCAACCTCCTTGACTTTTCAGCAACCTTTGACTCAGTAGATCATTATCCTTATCTGTAAAAATTTTATTCATTTGACTTCAAGGAAACAACACTTGCTTGCTTTTCTCCCTGTATGATTCGTTACTCCTAAGTCTCCTTTCCTGATTTGTCTTCATTTCCCCAGCCTCTTAATGTTGGAGGGCCTCAGGGTTCAGTACTTGGACTTCTTTTTTCCAAAACCACTACCTTGGACATCATCTTTTGTAGCACCAAAATAATTAAAATCTGTATATAAAAAGGAACTATATGCAGTTTTTCTAAATCACACAGAAACAAATTAAAGTGGTTAAGATTTCCGTTCTAATTCTGTAGTTGTTTCTAGTCATGTACGTAGGGGACAGGAACATTCATGTCAAATTTTCCAGAAACCGTGTATCACGTCTTATGTTTCCTGTCATGATAACATGTAATAAAGAATTCAGGGCTTCCCTGGTGGCGCAGTGGTTAAGAATCTGCCTGCCAATGCAGGGGACACAGGTTTGAGCCCTGGTCCAGGAAGATCCCACATGCCGTGGAGCAACTAAGCCTGTGCACTACAACTACTGAGCCTGCTCTCTAGAGCCCGTGAGCCACAACTGCTGAGCCTGCGTACTGCAACTACTGAAGCCCGTGTGCCTAGAGCCCGTGCTCCGCAACAAGAGAAGCCACCACAATGAGAAGCCCACGCACCGCAACGAAGAGCAGCCCCCACTCGCAACTAAAGAAAGCCCGCGTGCAGCAACGAAGACCCAATGCAGCCAAAACATATTTATATATACATACATACATACATTAAAAAAAAAATTCAGTAGCTCACTTGTGATTATTCTGATTTAAATTGTTTCAATATACATTTAAGAAGTCATATTTATAATTGCACATTTTTTATTATAGGAGCAGTTTACAGCGATGAGGGATTTGTATATGAAGAATGGCCAAGGGTTTGCACTAGTATATTCTATTACAGCTCAGTCCACGTTTAATGACTTACAAGACCTGAGGGAACAGATTTTACGGGTTAAGGACACAGAAGATGTAAGTATTTCTCTCTATATATAGCATACTGCCATCTCTCTGTGGCCAAATAAAAAGTGTCCATTTTCTCTATCAGTAGAGGATTTAGAGGGTATTTACCATGCGCCTAAGAGCCCTGGTGACCAAAAACGTTTTTAAGCTTTCTAAATTTACCTACAGATAATATGCCGAGATGGTTAGAAAAGAAGGACACGTATGTAAAGTTCTTCTTTCTCTGCTGCACTTATGACCTACATGGTGCTATGTGGGTCATAAGTGCAGTGGAGAAAGAAGAATCAAAGAGTACTTGGTAGAAGAAGGGGGACGCCAGTTGGGCTTGGAAAGTTGGTAGTTATGTCAGAAACAGTGTTCAGAGAACATTATTAAGAACCGTAATGCTGTGTTCCTATTTCTAAAATTCTGTTGGTACAGTTTTTACTGAGTTTTTTCCTTTGAATTATGTTAAAGATTTTAATTAACTTACATTTTTATATTTTTTTTGTTTTTGTTTTAGAATTCTTTTTTTAATGTTAATTTTTTATTGTGGTAAAATATACTGTTTTAGAATTCTTGTCTTATTTGATGAATAGCATCATTGTTTTGCCTTTTTGCAAAGATTAAATGTATATTTTACGTTTGTCTCAGTTTTGAGCTACAGAAAGTTCCTTTTTCAAAAGTTGTATAAATTAGGATATAAAATTTCATTTGTACCTTCTTTTCTGTTTTTGTGTGTTCTCTGTCATTATTAATGGGAACATAGGCACCTGCTTAGGACCTCAACTTTGGGTAATACTGTAGGCGGGAGGAATTTGCACCGTATGACTCATGACCAACCATAACCTAATGAATAGTTCTCTTTCTTCCCATGACTAATTCATCTAAGAGAGTTCTCTTTTCATAGGCAATTACATGCAAATCACTGAATTCTGGTTATGTTAATCTCTTTATCCCATGTAATAAACTAAAGATTGAGTTGTAGATGAAGACATAGCTACTCAGTGGCTGTATTTTTATTCTTACTTTTCCTTAATATCTCACCTAAGCTAGTCTTCAGATCTAGATGTCAGTTGTAGAAGTAAAACTTATTAACGTGTTGGTCTTGCCACTACTATTGGCATTTTTGGGTCCTGTGAGATGAGGCACTTAAAACACACCAAGACAATGAGTATTGCAGGAGGTTCCTTTTCCTTCAGATTTTTCTACTTGGAGTTCAGCCGTTAGCATTAGTCCACCTGAGAATTTTCGGATTATAGTCTTAAAATAATTTAGCAGATCAGTGTTGTAGAATCTCGTCCATATTTTTTCTGTCTCTTCCCCCTCCATTTTCCCCCCAACACACGTACATACACCTTTTTTTAAGTACTTGATGAAGATTATAGTCCTAACTAACACATTTCAGTTGGTGGCTGGTAGTTGCTTACTTATAAAAGGCTGAGTAATAAGTATGTTAGGGCTTATTATATGATTTTTTCCTTCCCGCAGGTTCCAATGATTTTGGTTGGTAATAAATGTGACCTGGAAGATGAGCGAGTAGTTGGCAAAGAACAGGGTCAGAATTTAGCAAGACAGTGGTGTAACTGTGCCTTTTTAGAATCTTCTGCAAAGTCGAAGATCAACGTTAATGAGGTAAACTACAGCTGCTAGGCGGCACACATAAGTGTCTTTTTAGTTTCCTTTCTTTCAAGTTAACAGCCAAAAACATTTTTTTAAAAAGAAAAAGTGGTGTTCTTTTAAGTAGTCTTTATCTATCAATTTATGGAAAACACTAAGTAATTCCTAGAAACCATATTCCTTCTCTTATATGAAATCAATTTGAAGGCTATTTACCTTGTTGGCAAAGAGGTGGTTTAAGTTAAAGAATATGTTTTTTAAAGTCCTGCTAAGCCTCTAAATGATAAGCCAGAAAGTGGTATGTGAAAATTGTCACATCACCCTTGTATTATAACAATTACCTATGCAGATGTGTGTAAAAAGGTTGTAAAGTCAAGTAGAAAAATAAAAAAATCAAAGTAGTTACTGTAATGAACTTATGTTGTACAGAAAGATATCATGAAATTTGGTATTTTGAGTCCTGCTTCCCTTTGGTGCATGACTCAAAGGGAAGAATTTGTGTGAGTGTGGATGGATACAGAACTATAATTCACTCGGTCTTTTAAGGCCTGATACAGCAGGTGCACAAGGCTTTTTTTTGTCCGTAACTTAACTACTCCACTGTCCTGAGAACATAGGTGGGGACAGGAATGCTTAACAAGTAAGCTTGCCTGCCTGGATGTAAAGGGCCAATAGTTTACTGGATCCCTAAAAGATTAGTGCAATCCCCAACTGCGACCACTACATCCAAGCAAAATCTTAAGAGGTTCCTTTGCTTTTGTTAATTTTAACATAAGGCTTTTTTTTTTTTTCCTTAAAAAAAAAAAAAAAAAAGCAGAATAGGCTTCTTTCCTTTCCCAGTAGTACAGAAGTCTTCATTTGCCAGTGTGCTTGCCATTTGTAGCATCACAGGTAATCAGTCAGAATTCAGCACACTTACAACATAGATGAGAGTTAAGACTGGTTTAGGGGCTTCCCTGATGGCGCAGTGGTTGAGAATCTGCCTGCCAATGCAGGGGATACGGGTTCCAGCCGTGGTCTGGGAAGATCCCCCATGCCACGGAGCAACTGGGCCCGTGAGCCACAACTACTGAGCCTGCGCGTCTGGAGCCTGTGCTCCGCAACAAGAGAGGCCGCGACAGTGAGAGGCCCGCGCACTGCGATGAAGAGTGGCCCCCACTTGCCACAACTAGAGAAAGCCCTCGCACAGAAACGAAGACCCAACACAGCCAAAAAATAAATAAATAAATTTATTAAAAAAAAAAAAAAAAAAAGACTGGTTTAGGTTATCAGAGTCCTCTGGTGTGTTTTTGCTTACGATTCCTCTCTGGCCTTTGGTTCTTTTGGTCACTTTTCCTTCACTGATATTATGGTTGTAGACTATTATTTGACTTTTTAAATGACCAAATTACTTTAAACGTGTGGCACGAAGAAAATTTAAGGTTGTGGGACTTCGCTGGTGGCGAGGTGGTTAAGAACCCGCCGGCCAGTGCAGGGGACACGGGTTCGAGCCCCAGTCCGGGAAGATCCCACATGCCGTGGAGCAACTGAGCCCATGCCCTAGAGCCCGTGCTCCACAGCAAAGAGAAGCCACTGCAATGAGAAGCCCGCGCACCACAACGAAGACCCAACGCAGCCATAAATAAATAAATAAGTTTTACAAATAATAAGTCAAAGCTTGCCTTTCAGGTAAAACCAGTTTTAATAAATACATAAAAAGAAATTCATAAATTTTATTTATTCAGCAAATATTCATTGTGTTCCTATGTTCCACTGTGTTAGGCACCAGGGTAACAGTCATTTAGACAGACATTATTCTTGCCCTCAAGAAGTTTACATCCTAATGGGGAACAAGTCCTGCTGAGATCTTCAACAACAGTTATTTGTAATTCACTGCCAAGTAAATGAAAGGAAGTATGAAATGCTTCCAGTTTCAACTTTCTCTGTTGTGGAATTACAGTTTCATAGATGTTATTCTGAAAAACATGGCTGATCATAAAATGTTAATTTTTGGTTTAGTCTCCCCCCCACCACCACCAAAAAAGAAAAGACAGAGAACTTTAAGGTAAAACACATAAACACATGAGGTAAAACAATGAGTTTGGCTAGGGGAGTAGTAGTGCCCCGTCACCATCTGCAGGATGATTGGCCTTAGAGATATAGTTCCTGCTGTCCTGTGATCACCCTCACTGGTACCCGATCACCAAGTTCATAGGGCTCGGCTGAGGTTGAGTTGGGCCAGGGTCCAGTAAGCACAGTGGACCGGAGGTATTCCTTACCTTTCAAGCATTACCTGTTTGTGGGAACTTACATGCTACTAAATCTCCCTCCTCCGGGTTTCAGTTTCCCATGCAGCAGAGGTACTTTTTCACAGTAGCCTCGTTGAAATCAACCGTTGACGTGAAGGTTTATAGAACAAAAATAGAAAAAAATACAACAAAATGAAATACATTAGCTACTTAAGGTTCTTTACTCTTTTGGAAAACATACAAACTTTATGCTAGAAATTCTTGAGAGTGTAATAATTTCTTTCTTTTAATATTTCTCTCTTGATAGCCTAATAATCCAACTATGGAGTTTTGGGGGTGGTTAATAGTTCCTCAGACCGCTAATGCCTGGAAAATATGTGTGTGATTTCTGAGTGCCTGAAGATAGAGAGATCATACTTTCACACGATTGAACTCTTGGACTCAAGTTTGAAATCATACAGGGGCATCCTGCTTAACTAAATTGCCCTCTAATTCTCTACTATCTATATCAGAGAATATATAATATATAATTTTTTTAAAAAAACTCTTGGGACTTCACTGGAGGTCCAGTGAGTAAGACTCCATTCTCCTAATGCAGGGAGCCCAGGTTTGATCCCTGGTCAGGGAACTAGATCCCGCATGCACGCCGCAAGTAAAAAGTCCGCACGCCTCAACTTAAAAAAAAAAAAAAAGTCCCACATGCTGCAATGAAGATCCCACGTGCCACAGCTAAGACACGGCACAGCCAAAATAAAAAAGTAAAAATAAATAAATATTTTTTTAAAAAACTCATCATTTTTGTTGTGTTTTGAAAGTAGTACATAGTTGTATCAGAATCAGTCTTAATCAAGAATTAATTGTTCTTTGCTGATGCTGGAATAATAATTGGAATCAAAACATCCCAATTAAGGAATGATAGAGGGATTGAGAAATTATTCTGTGTTCCCTTTAGATTTTTCTGTAGTTCAGAAGGATGAGGAAGAACCTAGACTGAGGGCTTTCAGCATATCTAACCAAATAACTATAGTTCGAACTTGCCCTCATCACTACTGCTGTGAGGTAGGCACCGTTTGCCAAGGAAATCCTTAAGGGTAATACCACAAAACCAGTTACCATTTTGTTTAGTACCAGAAACCCATGGCTCCCATGAAGAAACATGCTTTTCTTATTAATTTACTATTTTAGTTTATCCTTTTGTTATTTTTCACTTATGGATTATGCACTGAGGCTGGGGAACTAATGAGATTTTGTTTATGGCTTATGAATATTAAGATCTTGAAGGGCTTTGGAGCTGTGAAACAGAAACTACCATTTGGTTCATAAACTCTTATGTTTTCAACTTTCTTAGAAATAAGATAATAGAATTAAATGGTTTAAAGAAAATGGGAGAGTGGGTAGGATGGACCAGAAAGAAAAGAATATAAATGAATCAATAGCTTTGGGATAAATCTATTTATCCCAAAGGGGGGTAAATGAAGGGGTCCCCCCTTCAACAATTAATTTAGGCTTGTACTCTTAGGACCATTATTTTTTAAATTGAAGTATAGTTTGCTGTACAATATTACATGTTATAGGTGTACAGTGTAGTGATTCATAATTTTTAAAGGTTTTACTCCATTTATAGTTATTATAAAATATTGGCTATATTCCCCATGTTGTACAATATATCGTTGTAGCTTATTTTATACCTAATAGTTTGTACCTCTTAACTCCTACCCCTATATTGCCCCTCCCCCCTTCCTCTCCCCACTGGTAACCACTAGTTTTTTCTCTGTATCTGTGAGTCTGCTTCTTTTTTGTTATGTTCACTAGTTTGTTGTATTTTTTAGATTGCACATATAAATGATATCACACAATATTTGTCTTTCTCTGTCTGACTTATTTCACTTAGCATAATGCCTTCTAAGTCCATCCATGTTGCTGCAAATGGCAAAATTTCGTTCTTCTTTATAGCAGAGTAGTATTCCATTGTATATATACACCACGTCGTCTTTATTCATTCATCTGTTGATGGACACTTCCATATCTTGGCAGTTGCAAATAATGCTGCTGTGAACATTGGGGTGCATGTATCTTTTTAAAAAATATTTATTTATTTATTTACTTCTTTACTTACTTACTTTGGCTGCGCCAGGTCTTAGTTGTGGCACTAGGGATCTTTTTTTTTAGTTGCGGCATGCGGACCTCTTAGGTGCAGCATGCATGTGGGATCTAGTTCCTGACTAGGCATCGAACCCGGGCCCCCTGAATTGGGATCATGGAGTGTTACCCACTGGACCACCAGGGAAGTCCCATGGGGTGCATGTATCTTTTCAAATTAGTGTTTTTGGGTTTTTTTGGATATATACCCAGGAATGGAATTGCTGGGTCATACGGTAGCTCTATTTTTCGTTTTCTTGAGAAACCTCCATACCGTTTTCCACAGTGGCTGCACCAATTTACATTCCCACCAACAGTGTAGGAGGGTTCCCTTTTCTTCACATCTTCAACAACATTTGTTATTTGTGTTTTTTTTGATAATTGCCATTCTAACAGGTGTGAGGTGATATCTCATTGTGGTTTTGATTTGCATTTCCCTGATGATGAGCGATGTTGAGCATCTTTTTATGTGCCTGTTGGCCATCTGCATTTCTTCTTTGGAAAAATGTACATTTGGCAGAATGTTACTAACTGGTGAATATGGGTGAAGAAAATACATAAGTTCTTGGTACCTGCAACTTTTCTGTAAGTTTGAACTTTTTAAAAAGCAAGTATAAAGATATAAGTGAAGCATTAACTATTCTCTTAATAATTAGGTTTTTGAAGCATCAAAGATTCCACTTCACTATCTTGTTTTTTTCACTACTAATTCTTTTTACTAATTTGTTATTGAACATCTCTAAGAGCAAGTGTATTTCCCTCATTGTAAGTAGGTAAGTTGTGCTTTACCCTGACTGAAAATCAGCTGAGGCTTCCTAGAAACCTGCTGTTAAAACAAAGCAGCAAAATACAGATCCAAGAGCAGAATAATATTTCACAGAATCAAGATTGTTTTGTGGAACAAGGTCTCAAATATTGGTTAAATAAGTACTTTTTCTTGTTTTTATTTAGATATTTTATGACCTGGTCAGACAGATAAATAGGAAAACACCAGTGGAAAAGAAGAAGCCTAAAAAGAAATCATGTCTGCTGCTTTAGACCCACAATAAGCAGCAGCTCTGAGCCAGGTAAGGTGCTAAAAGCAGAGCAGATACCTTTCTCATCCTCTTATTTTGGGCTTTCCCCAACATTAACCACTTCCCATTTCACCTCTTAGGGTATTTCCAGGCTTCTGTAATTTGTAAATGTTTTATACAACTTATAGATATGTTCATCTGCTGGATGATTTGTCTCTTTCTCCATGAGATTCTAAGCTGTCTGAGGGAGGGCAAGGATCATGTTTGTTATGCTCAGCAGTACATCCCCAGTGCCTGGTACAGAATGGGTGTTCAAACAGTAGTGGTTCAATGAATAGAAAGCCTTCCAAGGTCACACCGAAATTCAAGCTGAATTGAAGTGGAACAGTGGTTTATCTGAAAATAAATTTTTTTTTTGATGAACTATTTCAAAGTGAGCACACTCATATATATCAGTAATAGTCATTCCTCCTCAGATGTAATTCCAGCCCTGATTCCTGACACAATGGATTAGTTTTGCCTCTCTTTCAACTTAACAGAAACAAAAACACTTAATGTGTTATTTTATGTGTGGCTTCTTTCACTCAAAAATGTTTTTGAGAATAATCCTTGTTGCATACAGCAGTAGTTTATTTTTCTTGTATGACTATACTAGCAATATATTTATGTATTCTGCTGTTGATGGACATTTGGGTTCTTTCCAGGAACAAGTATGGTGCTTGTGCACTTTCTATTTTTTCTTTTTTTTTTTTTTTTTGAGATGATCATATGGTTTTTATTCTTCAATTTGTTAATATGGTGTATCACATTGATTTATTTGCATATATTGAAGAATCCTTGTATCCCTGGGATAAATCCCACTTGATCCTGGTGTGTGATCCTTTTAATGTGCTGTTGGATTCTGTTTGCTAGTATTTTGTTGAGGATTTTTGCATCTGTATTCATCAGTGATATTGGTCTGTAATTTTCTCTTTTTGTAGTATCTTTGTCTGGTTTTGGTATCAGGGTGATGGTGGCCTCATAGAATGAGTCTGGGAGTGTGCCTTCCTCTGCAATTTTTTGGAAGAGTTTGAGAAGGCTGGGTGTTAGCTCTTCTTTAAATGTTTGGTAGAATTCACCTGTGAAGCCATCTGGTCCTGAGCTTTTGTTTGTTGGAATTTTTTTTTTTTTTTTGCGCAGTACACGGGCCTCTCACTGTTGTGGCCTCTCCCGTTGCGGAGCACAGGCTCCAGACGCGCAGGCTCAGCGGCCATGGCTCACGGGCCTAGCTGCTCCACGGCATGTGGGATCTTCCCAGACCGGGGCACGAACCCGTGTCCCCTGCATCGGCAGGCGGACTCTTGACCACTGCGCCACCAGGGAAGCCCTTGTTGGAATATTTTTAATCACAGTTTCAATTTCATTACTTGTGATTGGTCTGTTCATATTTTCTATTTCTTCCTGGTTCAGTCTTGGAAGGTTATAGCTTTCTAAGAATTTGTCCATTTCTTCCAGGTTGTCCATTTTATTGGTATAGAGTTACTTGTAGTAAGTAGTCCCTTAGGATGCTTTGTATTTCTGTGGTGTCTGTTGTAACTTCTTTTTCATTTTCTAATTTTATTGACTTGAGTCCTCTCCCTCTTTTTCTTGATGAGTCTGGCTAATGGCTTATCAATTTTGTTTATCTTCTCAGAGAACCAGCTTTTAGTTTTATTGATCTTTGCTATTGTTTTCTTTGTTTCTATTTCATTTATTTCTGCTCTGAATCTTTATGATTTCTTTCCTTCTGCTAACTTTCGGTTCTGTTTGTTCTTCTTTCTCTAGTTCCTTTAGGTGTAAGGCTAGATTGTTTATTTGAGACTCTTCTTGTTTCTTGAGGTGGGCTTGTATAGCTATAAACTTCCCTCTTAGAACTGCTTTTGCTGCATCCCATAGGTTTTGGATCGTCGTATTTTCATTATCATTTGTCTCTAGGTGTTTTTTGATTTCCTCTTTGATTTCTTCAGTGATCTCTTGGTTATTTAGTAATGTATTGTTTAGCCTCCATGTAGTTGTGTTTTTTATGTTTTTTTCCCTGTAATTGATTTCTAATCTCATAGTGTTGTGGTCAAAAAAGATGCTTGATATGATTTCAATTTTCTTAAATTTACTGAGGCTTGATTTTGTGACCCAAGATGTGATCTATCCTGGAGAATGTTCCATGCGCACTTGAGAAGAAAGTGTAATCTGCTGTTTTGGGATGGAATGTCCAATAAATATCAACTAATTCTATCTGGTCTGTTGTGTCATTTAAAGCTTCTATTTCCTTATTTATTTTCTGTTTGAATGATCTGTCCATTGGTGTAAGTGAGATGTTAAAGTCCCCCACTATTGTGTTACTGTCAATTTCCTCTTTTATATCTGTTAGCAGTTGCCTTATGTATTGAGGTGCTCTATGTTGGCTGCATATATATTTATAATTGTTATAGATTCTTCTTGGATTGATCCCTTGATCATTATGTAGTGTCCTTCCTTGTCTCTTGTAACATTCTTTATTTTAAAGTCTATTTTATCTGATAATGAATGTTGCTACTCCAGCTTTCTTTTGATTTCCATTTGCATGGAATATCTTTTTCCATCCCCTCACTTTCAGTCCCTAGGTCTGAAGTGGGTCTCTTGTAGACAGCATATATATGGGTCTTGTTTTTGTATCCATTCAGCAAGCTTGTGTCTTTTGGCTGGAGCATTGAATCCATTCACGTTTAAGGTAATTATCAATATGTATGTTCCTATGACCATTTTCTTAATTGTTTTGGGTTTGTTTTTGTAGGTCCTTTTCTTCTCTTGTGTTTCCGACTTAGAGAAGTTCCTTTAGCATTTATTTGTTGTAGAGCTCGTTTGGTGGTGAATTCTCTTAGCTTTTGCTTGTCTGTAAAGCTATTGATTTCTCCATTGAATGTGAATGACATCCTTGCTGGGTAGAGTAATCTTAGTTGTAGGTTCTTCCCTTTCATCACTTTAAATATGTCATGCCACTCCCTTCTGGCTTGTAGAGTTTCTGCTGAGAAATCAGCTGTGAACCTTATGGGAGTTCTCTTGTATGTTATTTGTCGTTTTTCCCTTGCTGCTTTCAATAATTTTTCTTTGTCTTTAATTTTTGCCAGTTTGATTACTGTGTGTCTCGGCATGTTTCTCCTTGGGTTTATCCTGTATGGGAGTCACTGTACTTTCTGGACTTGGTTGGCTATTTCCTTTCCCATGTTAGGGAAGTTTTCGACTATAATCTCTTCAGATATTTTCTCTGGTCCTTTCTCTCTCTCTTCTCCTTCTGGGCCCCCTATAAAGCGAATGTTGTTGCGTTTAATGTTGACCCAGAGGCCTCTTAGGCTGTCTTCATTTCTTTTCATTCTTTTTTCTTTATTCTGTTCCACAGCAGTGAATTCCACCATTCTGTCTTCCAGGCACTTACCCGTTCTTCTGCCTTAGTTATTCTGCTATTGATTCCTTCTAGTGTAGTTTTTGTTTCAGTTATTGTATTGTTCGTCTCTGTTTGTTCTTTAATTCTATGTCTTTGTTAAACATTTCTTGCATCTTCTCTATCTTTGCCTCTGTTCTTTTTCCGAGGTCCTGGATCATCTTCACTATTATTATTCTGATTTCTTTTTCTGGAAGGTTGCCTATCTCCACTTCATTTAGTTGTTTTTCTGGGGTTTTATCTTGTTCCTTCATCCGGTACATAGCCCTCTGCGTATTCATCTTGTCTATCTTTCTGTGAATGTGGTTTTTGTTCCACGGGCTTCAGGATTGTAGTTCTTCTTGCTTCTGCTGTCTGCCCTGTGGTAGATGAAGCTGTCCTGTGCACTTCCTTGTACAAGTCTTTATGTACATGTGCATGCATTTCTCTTTGGTGTATGTGTGTGTGTGTATGAATGAAATGGCCAGACTATACACTATATATGTGGTAGCTTTGGTGGATACTGCTAAGAAATTTTTCCAAGTAGTACCAGTTTACACACCTACTAGCAGTTTACAAGTTCCACGTCCTCCCCAAGTTTGGTATTGTCAGTCTTTGTAACTTGAGCCATTCTGCTGGATGTGTGTTGGTATGTCAGTGTAGTTTTAGAAGTCATTTTCTCTCAGGTGTGGGTTGACTTCTTTCAAATATTTCTTCTGTAGGTCTGTAGGTAGTAGTCGACTTTAAGTACCACTTAAGTTTTCATTAATTGAACTCATTGGAGAGAAATTAGTTGCCGCATTGAAGCTGCCTATCACGTAAGCAACCAGGCCGTGTGGGACCATTTGTTTTCCTTTAATTATATATTTAAATCCCCTGAACAGTTTCTACGTATGTTCATCAACTCTATAAACATTACCATAAAACAGTACTTTCATGGAGTGGATTTATGATGTAATTTGATGCTAATTAAGGGACTGTTACTAAACTGGGTTCGCTTAGAGGAAAGTTGGTTGTGCTAATAAAACTCTTGTAAGTCTCTTGGGTCTGTTTAGTAGATTACATCTTCTAGAGCATCAAATTAACTAATATGTGCTTCCTTAGAGATATGAATGAATCTCTCTTAGGGGAAACAGCTGAGTAATTGTACCCCTTTTTGAAATGAAGTAGAGGGAAAACAGAAAGGAGTAAAGGTCCCAGATTGCCTCTGGTAGTGAGATTTCAGAAAAACAGCTTCTGGCCAAATGCTTGCTTAGGCTTTTAGTGAAATCTTGAGTCAGTAACTATAAATCATCAGCTCCTTGAAGGTGATTATTGTTAAAGTTGATGGTATTTGTGTTTCTTTAGGTAAGGGTACAAAGGTAGAAAAAATGAGAACTCCAGTTCCTGTTCTGAAATGTGTTTAACTCTTCTATAGTTAGCTGTCTGGCTTTTTTTTTTGGCTGCTTTGGTTCTTCGTTGCTGTGCACGGCTTTCTCTAGTTGTGGCGAGCGGGGGCTACTCATCATGGCAGTGTGCGGGCTTCTCATTGGCGGTGGCTTCTCTTGTTGTGGAGCATGGGCTCTAGGCGCGTGGGCTTCAGTAGTTGTGGCACTTGGGCTCAGTAGTTGTGCTTACAGGCTCTAGAGTGCGGGGCTCAGTAGTTGTGGCGCACGGGCTTTGTTGCTCCATGGCATGTAGGATCTTCCCGGACCAGGGCTTGAACCCGTGTCCCCTGCATTGGCAGGCGGATTCTTAACCACTGCACCACCAGGGAGGCCCCTGACTGGCTCATTTTTATCATTATCTTAGCTGACCCTCGTTTAATGTCCAGTTCTCAGAAAATGTCCTTTTAGCTTATGTCTAAAGGAAAAGGTGCCATCTCCTGGCCTACTGGGAAAATTCATTCACGTACACCCTACAGTGTACTACTACGAGTTTTACCTTAGAGGAGAGAAATCTTGACCTAAATCTAGAAATAAGACCTTCATCCTGGTTGTTTAAATTCTTAGGCTCTGATGGGTAATTCAGCTTACAATATATTTAATGTTACCTGAGATCTCTGTGCATATTTGATAATACCAAATAATAGGTCACTTAGTAATCAGAATACTTTGCAGAGCATTTTGCTGTGATTATAGACTTGAAGTGCCATGTTGATCCCATTTAAGAAGTAGTGAGATATGGAATAAATTTAAATAGCCACTATAAATGTTTTTAGTAAGAGTATGTGAACCTTAAGGGCAGCTTACCTAGCCTTAGCCGTTAGGCAAAATCATACTGAAGCGTGTTAGTCTCTTTCTAATATGTCCTACTTTTGAAAACTGAGGAAAGAAATTCATCTTCAGGAAATTATTCCTTTAACCTAATTCTTTTCTGCTGAGCAGTAAACCTAACTTTGAGTCTTCTGCCCTTGAAAATGGGCATCAGCTCTTTCTGTATCATTTCTTCTTGTCCTAGCCTGAATTGGAATAGGTAACCCTAATATAAATAATGATAAAATGGTTGAATAAAGAATTTCCATTGGGAAGTTGATGCAGGCATGAGGTGTTTCCTTAGTGGAAAAGGAACCTTTCAAAATAAGATGATAATGGGGTAGAAATGAAATAATCACTGTTTTCCTCTTTACAGACAGGACTGCCAGATATACTGTGAAACACTAAGTACAATAAAACTATTTTTAAAACATTTTTAAAGGGAGTTTAAAATAGCCTTGTTACTATATATGTTTAATATAATTTAGTTATCTAATAATGATCAGCCAAAATCATTATTTCTCTCTGTATTATTAGATATCTATCTACCTATTTACTATCATCTTCTGACATCAAGGTTAACCATATATATCAGTATACATATATCTGTATTTATTCAATGTTCTAGATTACAGGAATGAAGAACTGTTGCCTAATTGGAAAGTGCCAGCATTCCAGACTTCAAAAAATAAATCTGAAGAGGCTTCTCCTGTTTTATATATTATGTGAAGAATTTAGATCTTATATTGGTTTGCACAAGTTCCCTGGAGAAAAGAATTGCTCTGTGTATATCTCTTGGAAAATAAGACAATAGTATTTCTCCTTTGCAATAGCAGTTATAACAGATGTGAAAATAAATATACTTGACTCTAATATGATTATACAAAAGAGCATGGATGCATTTCAAATGTTAGATATTGCTACTATAATCAAATGATTTCATATTGACCTTTTTATCATGTTTCCTCCCTGTCAAGCACTAAAAAGTTGAACCATTATACTTTATATCTGTAATGATATAGATTATGAAAATTTCCCCTCAGACTCATTGCAGCAGATAACTTTTTTGAGTCATTGACTTCATTTTATATTTAAAAAATTATGAAATATCATTCTGTCATTATATTCTAATTAAAATTGTTTGTGCATAATGCTTTGGAAAAATGGGTCTTTTATAGAGAAAAAAACTGGGATAACTGATTTCTATGGCTTTCAAAGCTAAAATATATAATATACTAAACCACCTCTAATATTGCTTCTTGTGTTTTATGTCAGATTAAATTACAGCTTTTATGGATGATTAAATTTTAGTACATTTTCATTTGGTTTGTGTGTTTTTGTTATTGTTTATAGATTTAAGGCCTTTATTTTATAATGATCACATTGTTTTAAATGCAGCAGTAGCTCCTTCCTGGCTGGTACCTGCAGAACACTTGGCTTTAAACCCCTAAGTAAATGGTGATTTCTCTACAAACAGACCTCGCACTTTCTGTTCTATATATATTTATTCCTATTATACAGTAAAATACATCAGACAACATACAGTAGTTTTGTATATTCTCTCTTGATCTTAAAGATTGTATCTTATGGAATAAAATATCCCACTGTGTATTATTTTTATATGTAAAAAGATAAGTTTAATACTGTATCAGGGCTTAACTTTTACTACTTCAGATCTTCCACAGGTTGTAATTTCAAGGGAATCATTTTGCCATTGTTAATTTGTTGAGTACAAGTCCACCAATGAAATGTTATGTAAATATTTTCAAGTTTGCTTTATAATAGATCGAAGAATCTAAGAGAAGTGGGGAAAGGTGGAAAAGCATGTAAAGGATGTGTCAGTTGCTTTTTCTTCAACTGTATATGAAGCAGTATAGTGGTAGAGTCATGTGGAAAAGATTTGCTGAGTTAAAGTTTTAGCTGGCTGTATAGTGGTGCTTTTCCTTTCCTTCCCAGTTTTTTTTTTTTTTCTGTATTTTTACAAAAAGTGGGGCTTAAGTAGGACATGGACCTAGGGTGATATGACTTATGTACACCATAGAGGTAGAGCAAAACAGCTTGTTAGCCACTTAAGTGCTAGAGAAGGAAAGAAACAAGCTTAGGAAACCCTGTGCCTTGTCCCTGAACGTTGAGGAGGAAGCCAGTCCTAGAAAGTCTGAATCATTGCTCAGGGATCTAGATGCTGTCTCGTTGCAGCTAGGTGTGAAGTAGTGTTCATGCCTGTTGAGACTTCCTAGGGGTGTGGCCGCAGCCCCATCAGTTACTAAATTGAAATTTAAAGATCAGACTTCACGTGTGATCTCTGACCACCCTGAGAAAATGTTAAAATACTGTAAAAAGAAAATTTGGAAATTGTATTCTTTTAAGTTTCTAATAAAGTTAGTTACCTAATACTTCTACTGATTCAGTTATACATATGTCTGGGACTGAGGGGCCAAAAATCTCATAAATGCAATAAATTAGAAAAAAAAAATAAGTGAAGCATTAGGGCCAGTCTGTCCAGGTCAGTGTAGCATATTTTAAGGTCCTCTAAAGTCATTCTGCTTTGAAACTCACCTCTCAAACATTCCTTTGGACTTAAAATCATAGATAAACATCTCATAAGCGAGCAAACATTTCTAAATATTACCTGTTACATAGATTGTGTCGTTATTTGCCAGATGAAGTAGGAATTATTTTAAATAAGAATAACTCCCAAGTTACAGTCTGCTTGACTAGGAGCATAACTCGATGTCCTCTGCTTTAGGACATGGTAGGAAAAGACGACAGGTACTGGATTTCTTTGTTACATCTTACACAGTCTGCTTGGGATAAAGGTAGAACTGTGAAGAAAAATGCCCTTGTGGCACACAGTAGTGTGCAGAGCAGGACCAGCTGAATTCAGAGACATGCATTGTTATCTCAAAGAAGTCTGCCATTGCTGAGCAAGATGGAAAGGTATCCTGTCAGAAAGTGAGATAGGTGTGCTTTTATATTGTCCCTATGTGAAGTCCTTAGTCTTGGTTCCAGAGGGGAGGGTGCCTGAAAATACGATATATTTTTATAGCAGAAAAATCAAAAAGCCCTCAAGGATATTATATGAATCTTATATGGTGAATATTCAAGAACTGACACCATATTAGTATTTATGGCTATTTAAAGTATATTAACTTTGGTTACTTGAGTAATATCTAATTTAAAGGAGGCTTGATGTCACAGTCGGTAGTTTGCTTTTTTCCACTAGAATACGAACAACTTTAATGGCTTAATAGTGTCCCCAAACAATCTTAGTTTTAGAAACTAAGTTAATACATAATCTATAATTTTACCCTCCACCAGGGGGAGCTTCAGTATCAGTTAACACTTCTACCATTGAATTAAAAGTATATATTCAAGCCATCTATTCTATAAATACTGTGTGCCTCACAAAGAGGTGTGAAGGCCTTCCCTCAAGAGTTTGCAATTTAATTGGGCAGAGAAGATAGAAGAAATTCGTCAAAGATATGAATAGCATTGTAATTCATTGAACTGTGGCCACAGGGCAAATTCTCTTAGGAATGTTTAGAGAGAGTTGGATATTGGTGTGTTTTTCTCTTCCGCTACAACTTTGAACTAACCTGTATCTGGCAGCTTGGTTTGCCATCATAGCTGGCTGCCTTTTACTCGTTGGTGAAACCGTGTGCGTCTTTGGAGTTAGAATGTACTTGGAAAAAGTCAATCCTTGGGAAGATACTGATCTTTATTACCAACTTTATGAAAATAGGTTACTTGGTCTGAGGCTGTTTTTCTCCACATATGAACATTCTGCATTTTCTGGACCTGCCCAGTTTCAAATATTTTGCCTCATTATCCTCATAGGTACACATATATTTGTCAGTTCACGTATCCGATTTTTGTTTTCAGGACTGAGGGACAGACAGATACAAAGATTACCTCAGTATTTTCCTTTGTAAGCAATCATAGAAGAATGTTAGAGGGCGTAAAATACACTCATAAATATGTGTGTAGTGAAACCAAAGTGTGAAGAAATTGTCAGGTATTCGGAGGAGGAAAATAACTTGTAAAATAACCTTTTGTTTTGTTTGTACTTATTTAAGGTGCTACTTAAATGTGTGTTAAAATAGCCCCTCTTGACTCAGCTCCAAACTTAAAAGGGCAGAGAGTGGTTTGGGTGCTTGCAGGATCTGGAAAGAGCCCATCTTGCCGGGAAGGAAATGAATGTGAGCTTTGAGGCAGTCTAACCACCCAGCTTTTAGCATTTCTATTCCCCAAAAATGTAAAAACATGCAAGTTATTCTTGAAAATGTAGCATAGACATTGCATTGAACATGGATTTTTCTTACCATAACTTCATCTTGAGTTTGTGGAATGTGTTGAATGTGTAGTGCACTTATTTAATGCCATATCTTGCTTAAATATTCTTGTTCAGAACAGCTGGAGACCTTGAACTGGGTGCCTAGTTCTGTTTTCTGGGAGGCAACATGGGATTCTGTTTTGCAGACATCAACAAGAGCTTTAAAAGTGAATTGGGGATGCAAGTTCTTTGGCTTGTTAAGAAGCTTCCTGTGGTTCTGGGCCCAAGGTGCGACATACATTTCCTGCTAATCGCTTCTCTTAAGAAGCATGGGCTTGGCTGTTCGTTTGGAGGAAAAACCTTAATAAACCTTCCCATTTTAAGCAGTGATGTGACTCTTATTTTGAGCTGTTGTTTTCATTGCATTTTTTTAAACTTAACCAAATGCAAGTTCTTGTACCTACTTTTAACCGTATAAAAGTTCTTGTAGGGCTTACAAAGCAGAACAAGGCATGATCCATATAGGCCTACCAGCAAATATTTATTGTGCCTCTACTGTATGCCAGGTGCTGATCTGCGTGTTGGGGCTACATCGGGGAATAATACAAACCAAAATCCCTTCATGCCTTCCCTCGTGGAGTTTCTGGCAGGTGGCAAAAGCTGTGTGTGTGTGTGTGTGTGTGTGTGTGTGTGTGTGAGATGAGTACTATGGAGAAGAGCTAAGCAGTGTAAAGGGGCAGGAGTGCTGGGCAGAAGGAATGTGGCGGTAGCGGGTCACAGGTGTAGGTTTCACTGAAGTTGCTCTTGCATAAATGTTGGAAATATGTAGCCCATACACCTGCCTGGGGGAAAGCACAGCCTTCCATGCAGTGGGAAGGGTCTGCAGATGCCATAAGGTGGACATATGCCTGGTGTGTTGGAGGATCAGCAAGGAGGCCAGTGTGGCTGGAGCAGAGGGATCAAGGAGGAGAGGAATAGGAGGCAACAGAGAGGTTGTGGGATGGGGGAGGACACACTTCCTCCCGCATTTACTGAGTGGAACCCACGAAAGAGCTTTTGGCAGAGGATAAAACATGGTCTGACTCGGCCTGCCATAAGGAATACTGTTTGAGAATAGCCTATAGAGGGCCCAGGATGGAAGCACAGAGGCCAGTTAGGGTACTGAATAATCAAGTAGGGAAGTGGAGCCAACAGGAAATGCTGACACATGGGGAGAGAGAGAGAGAGAGAGAGTTTGTTTGTGTGTGTGTGTGTGTGTGTGTGTGTGTGTGTGTGTGTGTGTGTGAGAGAGAGAGAGAGAGAGGGAGTCAAATATGACTTCAAGATTTTTGCCCAGTAAGGTAGTGAAGATTATGACAGGAGCGGGTTTGGAAGGGGCAGAAGGAGGGGGTCAGGAGTTCGATTTTGAACATACTAAGTGTGAGAAGTGTGTCACATTCTAGAGTTGTACGTTAGGTGGTTGGATATGAGTCTGGAATTCAGAGGAAGAGGTCTGGACAGGAGGCTTACATTTAATGTTTAAGAACATGAAGCTGAATAGGATCATTAGGGTTGAGTATAGACAGAAGCGATCCAAGGATTCTGTCATGAGGTTGGGAGATGAAGAATTAGCAGAGGAGAACACGGAGGTCACTGGTGACCCTGATGGGCTGTCAGTGGAGTGGAAGGGGACAGTGTCTGGAGAAAACGGAAAGCAAGAGTGACGTCAGGCATGGATTACTGTTGAGCTGGATGAAACAGTGCATGTTTGTGTGCTAATAGGAGTGGTCCACGGAGGAGGCATGTAAGGGAAGAAGCTGACCCAGATAGGAGCATATGGGTGGCTATAGGGGCAGAAGGCAAACAGTATGTGGGATAGAAACTGGTAGGTTACAAAGAACTAATAAAAGGTACCATAAAGAAGTTTTAAGCAAAGTAGCATGAGACAGAAGACACAGATGCTTTCTGTTCTGGGAGATCTGAAATGCTTCCAGAGAGGGGAGTTGAACCAGGCTTTAAAGGGTGGAATTTTCAACAGGTGTTAACAGGCAGATTGCAGGAAAAAGCAA